ACGGGCGGGCGTGGCGGGCGGGCGGGCGGCTTCCAGGCCCAGCCTCGGCGCCGGGGGAGTCGGCCCCCTCCCCAAATGCTCCGCCTCAGCCCCTCTTGTTTTTCCACTGGCTCACTCGCCAGGAAGCCCAACGCCCCCGCTTTTCTCCCCGCCATTCTCCTCGGGTTTCTCCCGCGGCAGGAGGGGAAGGATCTGCCCCAGAAATAGTGCGGCGTCCGCAGCAAATCCTGGCGCACCGGCAACCTGTGCCCAGATTTCTAAAAAATAAAAATCCAATACTCTTATCTCCCGTTGCCTGTCTCCCCCCCAAACGTAAGCTTTGGTGGCCGCTTGGCACGGCTAGCCTTCTTGGAGAGGAGCGCAGCCTGATGCCGCGCGTCTTTTCTTGGAAGTAAATCTAACGGAGCTCGCTCTCCGGGAAAGTGGCGGGTGATCTTAGCCCTGTTTGTTTTCGGCCTTTACCTGCCGACTTTGGGAACTCAGAGTTCCGGTTTGTTTGCCTTTCCCCCCTCCCGTTTTAATTTTGAACTTGCGCTGGCGTGCACAGTGCGAAGGATCTAGACGATTGGCAGTTCAGCTTAAAAGATACTCCTAGAAGTAATTCGCCGTTCATCTAGTTGGCTTTGACTCAGAAAGATGCAGTTGCTCATGTTTGTGTGGGAGTGCTAATAAGACTGTATATTCATAAATGTACACGAGATCTGATATAATGGTAGGGCCAGGCTATGCAACAGCCAGTGGAGAGAAATAGTTCTCAGGGTTTGGCATGTTGCATATCCCAAATTCAGGCCTAGCATCTCCTGACAAGGCTTTTGCCAGAATTGCTAGAGAGCTCTTGTAGGCAATGCTGTACTGAGCTAGTGGGCCAATGGATTATCTGGCCAAGTTGATACAATATAACATGGATATGTATAGATTTGCCTTTTGGTGGCTCCTATTATGCCTATGGCAATGCATTCTACACATTTGCATCATATGTCTTTAACTTGGTCCATGTATTAAAGATTGCATTTCTTTTTGAGATGTCTAAGTTAAGATAGAAGTATCCTGAATTACATATCAAATTGGACTCCTTGCTGTTAGGTATAGGAGTGTCTTATTTTTTAATGTAAAATAGTATCTTGAGGAGAGGGTTATAATAATAATGTTTGCTGTGTTATAAACTAATTTACAAGAAAAGTCTGTCCATATTGACGAGGGCATTATTCAGTCTAAAATATATTCTAGAATCCTGTTGCCTCTTACTGTACTATATTCTGCATATCTGGTGGAACAGATTTTAAATTACACTATTGTAAGTAAATACTGTTAAGATTGTATCATTATGCTGTATTCTAGTATAAAGGGAGAGAGAAAAATCTTTATTAGCATCTCCACACTTCATCATTTTAAGTCCTAGCCTAATGCCACATTTTTTTTTAATTAAGCTAAAGCCTTCAGTGTTTTATTGTCTTTCTACTGAAGGTTTTCCAAATCCTAAATCACTACATATTGAATCCTCTGCATGTTTTCATTGGAACTTACTCTAAATTGAATGTGCAAAGGTCACTACTGCACAGAGAAATTCTAAAATGTATGAAGAGATTCTGGATAAAGGAAGTGTCCTGACCAGGAATGAAGTTAGAAGGGTAGATTTTCTATTTTTTCCCTTCTAAAAATTCCCTCAAATTAACATTAATTTACACACTGCTTCCCAGACTAGAATTTTTCTTATCTTGGGACCCTAAGAGGAACAAGGGGTCTTTAGATACAGCAGAACCATTGCTTTCTCTCATAAGGCCCAAGCAGGGCCTTTATATCCCTATTGCAATTGAGATACGCTGGATGCCTTACCTTCAGAAAAGCAAGTGCAAATATGCCAGTGGGAAAGCATTTCTAAAATATATATATATATACCTATATAGAGTTTAACTTATAAATTATAGGTTTACTGGTTTATAGATTATAGGAATCAACTTTTTTTTTTCCAGTGCTTGTTTTTTCCCTTTCAGATCTCCAGTTTGAGACAAGGTAACCAGAACAGCACACAGAATTATAGATTAGGGGACACTGATTATTGAATATTTGCCATCTTATTTTTCAACATTTGCTTATAATTTCCCATATTCACTTTGTTCTTTTCATATGTGTAGTATATTTTTTGCATTTTTAGTGCACACTTTTTTTTTTATTGCACTCCCAAGATTTCTGGGCTAGCTCCAGTTAGATTAAAAAAAAAAAAATCCATAAGCAAAACAGCACAGTCCACTGATGTAAAATCAAACCCAGAACAGTAAAAAATACAATACAGACCACTAATGACTATATCGTTTCAGGCTCAAACCTTTTGTTTGAAATAATGTCTATTTGGGAAAAATGCATAAAAGTGTGCTTTAGGGATGATTATATTAAAAAATAATGTACATAAAAGAACTTTGCATATAACTCTAGAAAATATTTTTTTCAGTTTTTAAAATAAGTTATAAAAGGTTTAATGGAATAATAAAATTCATGTCAGATTAACTGACAAAATAGGATTAAGAGATCCACACACTTCTAACGTTTGAATAGTTTGGATCCAAGCAATGTATATCTGAAATTAGATGTTTTGTTCTATTAATCTATTGTGATGGTTATTTATTCACCCCATCACCTTGTGCTCTTGATGGTCTCCCTGGGCTTCCATCACCCAGATTAACTTTGTAATTCTTGTCAATTCTGCTCTAGTGCTATTAGATTTTTTTTTTCCTTCAGAAGTCTGGCTTTCTCAGAATTTTACAATAACAGCAACAAAGTAAAATACAGCAGTGCTATCTCAGCTAGATATTAAAGAATCAATGTAGTATAGCAGTTAAGATATTGGATTCCCCCCCCCCCAAAAAAAAATTCAAGCCCACCTTCAACCATGGGAGTTCACTGAGTAACTTTGAGCCTGTCATTCCTCTTAGCCCAACCTAACTCTCAGGGCTGTTATAATAAAAAATGGGAGGAGAGAGTGTTGTGTATGCCACCTTGAGCTCCTGAACAAAGGCAGGATATAACAAATACTTTGAAAACATTTCAAGGTATTCATTTCACAGATGTATCTCCAAAATGTGGCTTGATCTGCAAGGAAGTCTAGATCAAATTCTCAAACGCTGAACTTTTTAACTTGTACAAGACATCAGAATAACAAGTACTATATGTCTCAGAGTTCATTGGTAAAGCTCTGGCCTATTGATCTTGTTACAACTTTCTATAGCCTTTGCTTTTGTTTATGAAAACATGTTGTTTGATATCTGGATTTAAATACAGTATGTAGTTTTTTCTAAAGATCCCAGAAGAAATAAATGTGTTTTTTATCCCTTGGTGTTTCATTCTTCCCATCCATTGCTCTACAGTATAAAGTTGTTAGGTGAGGTGATGTATATTCAGTAGTTTTTATTTCAAATTCAAATTCCCTGCAGTTTTCTTGGAAAGATTTTGGAAGTGGTTTGCCACTGTCTGCATCCTAAGGCTGAGAGAGAGAAACTGGCCCAAGGTCCTCCAGCTGGCTTTGTGTCTAAGGCAGGATGGTCTCCTGGTCTCTAGCCTGGTGCCTTAACCACTACACCAAACTGGCACTTTGTGTAACAGTTGTTGTTGTTTAGTCGTTAAGTCGTGTCCGACTCTTCGTGACCCCATGAACCATATTGCGCCAGGCCTTCCTGTCCTTCACTGCCTCCCTGAGTTTGCTCAGTTTCATGCTCATGTGTAACAGTTACCAGATTGTTATTCCCCAGTCGTCCATAAAACCAAGTAACTAATACAGCTTGGCTAGTTTTAGCTTAGTGGAATTTTGAACCCAACCATGGTTCATAAATCCTAGTTTATTTTAGCATTAAAATAATAACCATCTTCCTTACCAGTCATCCAGGTAATGCAAATATCATTCAGTAAGTAGCCTAATGATTCTGTCTCTCTCTTGTCCGCTCTGTCCTCCGCTCCAGTTTCTTTCCATGCCAAAAGTATCTACAGTGGTACCTCGGTTCACGAACTTAATTCGTTCCGCAACTGGTCGCGAACCGAATTGGTTGTGGACCGAATCAAACTTTCCCATAAGGTTCAATGTAAATACGGTTAATCCATTCTGACCCTTCCGAATTTGGTCGCCAACCGATTTTTGATCGCATCCCAAATCAAATTTCCCCATAAGGTTCAATGTAAATACGGTTAATCCATTCTGACCCTTCCGAATTTGGTCGCCAACCGATTTTTGATCGCATCCCAAATCAAATTTCCCCATAAGGTTCAATGTAAATACGGTTAAT